ACAGTACGCACAGACACACACAGTGCGCACACAGACACACACGCACACAGACACACACGCACACAGACACACACGCACGCACACAGACACACACGCACGCACACAGACACACACGCACGCACACAGACACAAACGCACGCACACAGACACACACGTACGCACACAGACACACACAGTACGCACAGACACACACAGTACGCACACAGACACACACTTACGCACACAGAGACACACACGCACGCACACAGACACAAACGCACGCACACAGACACACACGTACGCACACACACAGACACACACAGTACGCACACAGACACACGCACAGTACGCACACAGACACACACACAGTACGCACACAGACACACACGTACGTACGCACACACACGTACGCACACAGACACACACAGTACGCACACAGACACACACAGTACGCACACAGACACACATTGTACGCACACAGACACACACACGTACGCACACAGAGACACACAGACACACACACGTATGCACACAGACACACACACGTACGCACACAGACACACACACACGTACGCACACAGACACACACACGTATGCACACAGACACACACACGTACGCACACAGACACAACAGTACGCACACAGACACACACAGTGACACACACAGTACACACACGTACGCACACAGACACACACGTACGCACACAGACACACACAAAGTACGCACACAGAGACAGACACTTACGCACACAGAGACGCACACTTACGCACTCAGAGACACACACACACGCACACAGACACACATGCACGCACACAGACAGACACGCACGCACACAGACACAAACGCACGCACACAGACACACACGTACGCACACAGACACACACAGTACGCACAGACACACACAGTGCGCACACAGACACACACGCACACAGACACACACGCACACAGACACACACGCACGCACACAGACACACACGCACGCACACAGACACACACGCACGCACACAGACACAAACGCACGCACACAGACACACACGTACGCACACAGACACACACAGTACGCACAGACACACACAGTACGCACACAGACACACACTTACGCACACAGAGACACACACGCACGCACACAGACACAAACGCACGCACACAGACACACACGTACGCACACACACAGACACACACAGTACGCACACAGACACACGCACAGTACGCACACAGACACACACACAGTACGCACACAGACACACACGTACGTACGCACACACACGTACGCACACAGACACACACAGTACGCACACAGACGGGCGGCACGGTGGCTGAGTGGATAGCACTCTCGCCTCTCAGCAAGAAGGTCCTGGGTTCGAATCCCGGTCGGACCAGGGCCTTTCTGAGTGGAGTTTGCATGTTCTCCCCGTGTCTGCGTAGGTTTCCTCCGGGTACTCCGGTTTCCCCTACCACTAAAAATATGTCCAATAGTTCTAGCATGCGCCTCCTGTACTGGCGACCCCGCTCCCATCTCTGTGTGGAGTGAGAGACAAATGCCCAAAATTAACAATTGTAAACCGCTTTGAGACTCAGATCTGCAGTGAAAAGGCGGTATATAAATAAAAACTTACTTACTACTTACTTACGCACACAGTACGCACACAGACACACACCTACGCACACACACAGTACGCACACAGACACACACACAGAGACACACACACACAGACGCACGCAGACACACACAGTACGCACACAGACACACACCTACGCACACAGACACACACACAGTGTGCACACAGACACACACACAGAGACACACACACACAGACGCACACAGACACACACACAGAGACACACACACACAGACGCACACAGACACACACACAGACGGGTACAGCCGCAGATCTCAGAGCAGTGCCTTAAACAGAAAATGTGTTCTGTGTTGGTTCCACAGACCGTTGTTGTCGTTGTTGTTGTTGTTGTCGTTGTTGTTGTCGTTGTTGTCGTTGTTGTTGTCGTTGTTGTCGTTGTTGTTGTCGTCGTCGATGAAAATCCACTTTCAATAAAGACTCACACAGACACACACAGTACGCACACAGACACACACAAAGTACGCACACAGAGACAGACACTTACGCACACAGAGACACACACGGAGACACAGACACACACAAAGTATGCACACAGAGACAGACACTTACGCACACAGAGACACACACTTACGCACACAGAGACACACACAGTACGCACACAGACACACACTTACGCACACAGACACAAACGCACGCACACAGACACACGTACGCAAACAGACACACACAGTACGCACAGACACACACAGTACGCACACAGACACACACTTACGCACACAGACACACACGTACGCACACAGACACACACAGTACACACACAGTACGCACACAGACACACACACAGTACGCACACAGACACACACAGTACGCACACAGACACACGCACGTATGCACACAGACACACACACGTACGCACACAGACACAACAGTACGCACACAGACACACACAGTACGCACACAGAGACACACACAGTACACACACGTACGCACACAGACACACACAGACACACACACGTACGCACACAGACACACACAAAGTACGCACACAGAGACAGACACTTACGCACACAGAGACACACACTTACGCACACAGAGACACACACGCACGCACACAGACACACATGCACGCACACAGACACACATGCACGCACACAAACGCACGCACACAGACACACACGTACGCACACAGAAACACAGTACGCACAGACACACACAGTACGCACACAGACACACACTTACGCACACAGAGACACACACACACGCACACAGACACAAACGCACGCACACAGACACACACGTACGCACACACACGTACGCACACAGACACACACAGACACACACACAGTACGCACACAGACACACACAGTACGCACACAGACACACGCACAGTACGCACACAGACACACACACAGTACGCACACAGACACACACGTACGTACGCACACACACATGTACGCACACAGACACACACAGTACGCACACAGACACACACAGTACGCACACAGAGACACACAGACACACACACGTACGCACACAGACACACACACGTACGCACACAGGCACACACACGTATGCACACAGACACACACACGTACGCACACAGACACACACAGTACGCACACAGAGACACACACGTACGCACACAGACACACACAGTACGCACACAGAGACACACACAGACACACAAACGCACGCACACAGACACACACGTACGCACACAGAAACACAGTACGCACAGACACACACAGTACGCACACAGACACACACTTACGCACACAGAGACACACACGCATGCACACAGACACAAACGCACGCACACAGACACACACGTACGCACACACACAGACACACACAGTACGCACACAGTACGCACACAGACACACGCACAGTACGCACACAGACACACACACAGTACGCACACAGACACACACGTACGTACGCACACACACGTACGCACACAGACACACACAGTACGCACACAGTACGCACACAGACACACACCTACGCACACACACAGTACGCACACAGACACACACAGTACGCACACAGACACACACACAGAGACACACACACACAGACACACACGTACGTACGCACACACACGTACGCACGCAGACACACACAGTACGCACACAGACACACACACAGTGTGCACACAGACACACACACAGAGACACACACACACAGACGCACACAGACACACACACAGACGGGTACAGCCGCAGATCTCAGAGCAGTGCCTTAAACAGAAAATGTGTTCTGTGTTGGTTCCACAGACCGTTGTTGTCGTTGTTGTTGTTGTTGTCGTTGTTGTTGTCGTTGTTGTCGTTGTTGTCGTTGTTGTTGTCGTTGTTGTCGTTGTTGTTGTCGTTGTTGTCGTTGTTGTTGTCGTCGTCGATGAAAATCCACTTTCAATAAAGACTCACACAGACACACACAGTTCGCACACAGACACACACACGTACGCACACAGAGACAGACACTTACGCACACAGAGACACACACAGAGACACAGACACACACAAAGTATGCACACAGAGACAGACACTAACGGGCTCATAATACGTAGAGGCAACATTTTGGTTTGATGTATTCAGGTTACGTGGGGCCGATGTACGCAATAAAATCATGTCAATTCAACAAGTTGTTTTTTTCAGTGTACTGGTCGCCTCGCTTCTGTCAGTGGGCCCCAGGGCGGCTGTGGCTACAGTATAGTTTATCACCTGTGTTTGGAGAGAAAGAATCATGATGTGAAGCGTCTGTCAGTGCCAAAAGCGTTGTATAAATTACATTTTTATTATTATTTTTCTGACCCTTCGACGTCGAGCAACAGTGTGTGGTCACGGGTAAAGCCCAGGGCAGACGAAATACATGATAAACTACAAAATACTGACAAAATACTCTTTCAGCCCTAAATAAATGTATGGCTCCCTGTTCCACACCGCATACAAAGTCCTCCTCCTCACCGACAAGAGCCTCCATAACCTCTGACCTCTTACCTCACTGACCTCCATCATCACTGTCCCTCCCGCCGCCTCAGACCCACAGACTCAGACCTCACTCCCTCAGGACAAAACACTAAACCCTGGGGGGCCGAGCCTTCGCTGCAGCCGCCCCCACTCTCTGGATCAGAAACTCTGACTCACTTCTCCAAACCCACCTGTTTCAGCCGCTTAATGTTGTTCAATGTTTATTTCATGTGTTTTGTAAACCAACTTTGAGTGTCCAAAAAAGCGATAATGTTTGATTTATTATTATTATTTTACTAAACTGCTTTGGATAATAACCCACCATTGATACTTGTCTTGATTGTGGCACAGGGAGGAGAAAAGGGGGTTGTTGCAGTGGGAACAGCAGCTGTGCAGAGGGAGATGCAGCAGCTGTGCAGAGGGAGATGCAGCAGCTGTGCAGAGGGAGATGCAGCAGCTGTGCAGAGGGAGATGCAGCAGCTGTGCAGAGGGAGAGGCAGCAGCTGTGCAGAGGGAGATGCAGCAGCTGTGCAGAGGGAGAGGCAGCAGCTGTGCAGAGGGAGATGCAGCAGCTGTGCAGAGGGAGATGCAGCAGCTGTGCAGAGGGAGATGCAGCAGCTGTGCAGAGGGAGAGGCAGCAGCTGTGCAGAGGGAGATGCAGCAGCTGTGCAGAGGGAGATGCAGCAGCTGTGCAGAGGGAGATGCAGCAGCTGTGCAGAGGGAGATGCAGCAGCTGTGCAGAGGGAGATGCAGCAGCTGTGCAGAGGGAGAGGCAGCAGCTGTGCAGAGGGAGATGCAGCAGCTGTGCAGAGGGAGAGGCAGCAGCTGTGCAGAGGGAGATGCAGCAGCTGTGCAGAGGGAGAGGCAGCAGCTGTGCAGAGGGAGATGCAGCAGCTGTGCAGAGGGAGATGCAGGAGGAGGGGGCGCAGCAGGAGCCGAGCCGGGCACAGCGGGATCATCATTTCCAGTTTCTCTTTTCTGAGTTGGAAGCGACAATGACGAGAGAGAGCAGAGACCGCTGCAGTCGTTCTTGCTCTCTGGGGATTGCTGGGCCAAGCCTTGAGTGACAGCTGTAATTGACATTCCCCTCACCTGGTCAAGAGACTGTGTAAAGAGTTGCTTGTTTGGTTTTTAATAAATGTGTGATTGTATCGAGAGCTTCATTCATGTTTGTCATAAAAGTTAATATTTTCTTCCATATACTTTTACTTCTATTTACATTGTATTTGTCACTAAATCCTTAAAACTGTGGTAAATGTATGAACAGAAGTGGAGATATTTGTGAAATACAAAAAAGGTTTTATTTTGTCAAAAAACACAAGACAAATTAAACTGTTTAGTCATTTGCCAAAAGGTGATTCATCAGACCCTCCTCCTCCTCTGCACCTCCTCCTCCTCTGCACCTCCACCTCCTCTGCACCTCCTCCTCTGCACCTCCACCTCCTCTGCACCTCCTCCTCTGCACCTCCTCTGCACCTCCTCCTCCTCCTCTGCACCACTGCTGCCACAGGCTCTGCTGATGCTGATGCTACAGGTGCGTCTCATTCTGTCACAGGTTTCTCCATGTTTTTTGCACTATTGAAGTTCAGTGTCCGAGTCATTCCTTTTCAGAGGACAGCCTCGTTGTTGGCAGACATCTCTGAATTCCACCTCATTAGGACGACGGATCTGCTCTGGGACCAACACAGCCTTTGCTGCTGTTCAAAACTCCTGCACACTGTTGTTAGGCTGACTCCTTAAAGGTGACCTAAGGTGACCTACTTCTTCAGACATTCTGCACCCACTGCATGTTGCTGAAGTTGGGGACCACTGTATCCTGCCAGAGGCTCGGTTAAACGCCCAGACCGATGAGTCAACACACACATACACATTTTAATGCTTTATAGGGATAGCCAGCAGCTGTTATTGTGCACGACTGTGGCTCGCTGTGTCTGTCTGAGTCTATATGTACCTGTGTCTGTCTGAGTCAATATGTACCTGTGTCTGTCTGAGTCTATATGTACCTGTGTCTGTCTGAGTCTATATGTACCTGTGTCTGTCTGAGTCTATATGTACCTGTGTCAATATGTACCTGTGTCTGTCTGAGTCTATATGTACCTGTGTCTGTCTGAGTCAATATGTACCTGTGTCTGTCTGAGTCAATATGTACCTGTGTCTGTCTGAGTCAATATGTACCTGTGTCTGTCTGAGTCAATATGTACCTGTGTCTGTCTGAGTCTATATGTACCTGTGTCTGTCTGAGTCAATATGTACCTGTGTCTGTCTGAGTCAATATGTACCTGTGTCAATATGTACCTGTGTCTGTCTGAGTCTATATGTACCTGTGTCTGTCTGTGTCAATATGTACCTGTGTCTGTCTGTGTCAATATGTACCTGTGTCAATATGTACCTGTGTCTGTCTGAGTCTATATGTACCTGTGTCTGTCTGAGTCTATATGTACCTGTGTCTGTCTGTGTCAATATGTACCTGTGTCTGTCTGTGTCAATATGTACCTGTGTCAATATGTACCTGTGTCTGTCTGTGTCTATATGTACCTGTGTCTGTCTGAGTCAATATGTACCTGTGTCTGTCTGAGTCAATATGTACCTGTGTCTGTCTGAGTCTATATGTACCTGTGTCTGTCTGAGTCTATATGTACCTGTGTCTGTCTGAGTCAATATGTACCTGTGTCAATATGTACCTGTGTCTGTCTGAGTCTATATGTACCTGTGTCTGTCTGAGTCTATATGTACCTGTGTCTGTCTGAGTCAATATGTACCTGTGTCTGTCTGAGTCAATATGTACCTATGTCTGTCTGAGTCTATATGTACCTGTGTCAATATGTACCTGTGTCTGTCTGAGTCTATATGTACCTATGTCTGTCTGAGTCTTTATGTACCTGTGTCTGTCTGAGTCAATATGTACCTATGTCTGTCTGAGTCTTTATGTACCTGTGTCAATATGTACCTGTGTCTGTCTAAGTCAATATGTACCTTTGTCTGTCTGAGTCTATATGTACCTGTGTCAATATGTACCTGTGTCTGTCTGAGTCTATATGTACCTGTGTCTGTCTGAGTCAATATGTACCTGTGTCTGTCTGAGTCTATATGTACCTGTGTCTATATGTACCTGTGTCTGTCTGAGTCAATATGTACCTCTGTCTGTCTGAGTCAATATGTACCTGTGTCTGTCTGAGTCTATATGTACCTGTGTCTGTCTGAGTCAATATGTACCTGTGTCTGTCTGAGTCAATATGTACCTGTGTCTGTCTGAGTCAATATGTACCTCTGTCTGTCTGAGTCAATATGTACCTGTGTCTGTCTGAGTCTATATGTACCTGTGTCTGTCTGAGTCTATATGTACCTGTGTCTGTCTGAGTCTATATGTACCTGTGTCTGTCTGAGTCTATATGTACCTGTGTCTGTCTGAGTCTATATGTACCTGTGTCTGTCTGAGTCTATATGTACCTGTGTCTGTCTGAGTCAATATGTACCTGTGTCATTCTCAGAATCAGAATTCTGTTATTGCCATTTGAGTAACAAAAAGTCACAAACTAGAAAATGTCTTTGTCTCTCAGAGCAAACAAGTTAAATCAGAATAAAAACAAGAAGGCATAAATGAATAAGAATCTACATTTCTTCAGATGACTTTATTGAGTGCACAGCAGAACACTGCCACCTGTAGGGCATAATGAGTGCTAACTATGGTATAGTATGTTTCTTTTTAAACAAACATGAACCACCTCCTCAGGAGTGAGTGGCTGTAATAGACTTCCATATTTTATTCTTATGAGCCCCTTTAATGCCACTTTATTATTATTATTTTTTTTTTTTTCAACTTCATTCAATATTATCTTTCTCCTGCTCTGTGAAGTACTTTTTCTTGGTGGTCTTCCTCTCTGCCACGTCGAAAACGGGGTCGAGAAACAGGCGGTCTCCGAATATTCATAGGTGTCCATCCATCCATCCATCTTCTGCCCCTTAATCCATTTCTGGGTCGGGGGGGTGGCAGTCAGAGCTGCACCCAATTCACTGAGCACCAGCCCCTCACTGATCCTCCTGCAGGTGGTGGGTCCACAGGAGGATGGCTGCTCTGTCAGTGACAATACGGGCTTGATTTTTCAGCTGGAGCTTCAGGGAATGTCAGGTTAAGTGTCTTGCCCAAGAACACAACGACAGCAGACATCAGTGGGAGTCGGTGGAGAAGGTTCCGTGGTCAGCTCGAACCCACAACCTTCTGGTCCAAAGGCCAATGCTCTACCAACTGAGCCACTGTCGCCTATTTATAGATGTGACTTTCTTAATAACATTTGTTTTCAGCCGTGTTGTAGAATTAAAATGTTGTATACTAATGATTTTCAGTAGGTGTTTGCATACCATGTCTTTGTGCAATATTAAAGCAGTACTAGAATGTAATATGCTGCTTTCCAGAATATATAACTACAATATGTGTTTATAATATTTCGGGTGTTCATTTTGACATGTTTAGATGAATTATGTTAAAAAAAAACGGCTTTGAAGTGGCACCTTTTCACTTCCGCATAGAAACGCTAGGGGGCGCCAAAATGGCGGCGATGACGTAGGAGAAGGACCTCTCACAGCAGCAGCAGCAGTCTGGGCTGAATCTGTAGGAGGTTTCACTGTCATCTGAACAAGGTATAAACATATTTTCATCCGTTTTGTACATAATAGTGTGCAACTCTTTTAACCTTTTAGCCTTATTTGTGAGATTCAAGCTAATTAGTGTTGGGCAAGTTAGCTAACTCTACTTGATATAAAACATGCTGCTAACAAGGCTAATATCCTTTTTTACATTATGCCAGTCTCACTTTGCCTTAGATTTATTTACCACAATGTACATTGTAATATTAAAAAATGCTAACACATATTAACGGTTTAATCAGCATTTTTATCAATGATTGCATCACATGTAGTCTATGTTTTCAACTTCTGCAGCTTTTTGTTCATAAAAGTAAAATATTTATTTAATTCAAGTTATTTTGATTAGCATTTATGGATATTACAATGTACATTGTGGTAAATAAATCTAAGGCAAAGTGAGACTGGCATAATGTAAAAACGAATATTAGCCTTGTTAGCAGCATGTTTTATGATATCAAGTAGAGTTAGCTAACTTGCCCAACACTAGTTTGCTTGAATCTCACAAATAAGGCTAAAAGGTTAAAAGAGTTGCACACTATTATGTACAAACTGATGTAAATATGTTTATACCTTGTTCAGATGACAGTGAAACCTCCTACAGATTCCTTATAAGGAAGAAGCTATAGGTTGGAATGTGTGAATCCCTTTTTCCCCCAGCCCCCAAGGACGAGGATAGCAGACAGGAAGGCGCCTCGGATGGATGGGGGGGGGGGGGGGGGGCTGTTTGCTAAACCTAATATGGAAGAAGACCAGGACTTTAATCTGCCCCAGACCATATGACGTCATCGGACATTCTGATAAAAATGGGGGTAGGACATTTTGAGCCTCAGTTAGCACAGGGATAGATTTAGGGAATTAATGGCTCCGAGAGTTTTGTATCAATATTTAATTGTAAAGAGAAATAAATGTTCTTTTTTTAACTCTTGTATTCTTGATCTTATTTCTGTATCAAACTTTGAACACGTCAGTCAAATCTTTTTTGACAACAGCCAACAGTCAACAATTCATCAACAGGAGCAGCTTCATACGCTGAACTCTGGGTGGACCTCACATGTTCATGAATCCTGCGGTGGATCTTGCATAATTGGAATCTGCACCAAAAATGTTCACCCTTTTCTGCGCAAGTCTCATAAATGTGGCCCAGTGTGAGGGAAACCTTGGGGAGGCCAGATGCATTCAGTACTTTTGCATATGTGGTAAAAGAAAATCAGAATGGAGATGAGTGTGTACTTTATCGCTGAGGGCCGTGTTTGTGGCTTTGTGTTCACTGCTCTCTCTCTGACGTCATTTCATTTGTATCATCATGACGTTGGTTCAAACGCAGGAACAGAATCCAATGCCAAACACACTGAATATGGAAACTGTCCAAGCTTTGTCTGGACACAGAGGCTGAGGCTGTGCAGTATTTATCCCTCTGAGCACAGGTACGGTCTGCTGCTGGTGAGCCCTGTGAACCCAGAACAAACCGGGCCGGGTCATCCCTATACCCCCTTTCATATAAGCCCATTGTTGTTGCAGCGAGTCTCAGGTCTCTATGAAACAGTTTAGGGTTTTAGAATCGTTTTATCTCTTACTTTTTCTCTCTGTAAATGTTATAGCAGATCAGTGTTCATGGTTTTACTCTGATCCAGACCAGAGCAGAGACGATGGTCCCAACAGATCCACTGGAGGAATGCTAATTTCTTTTGAAAAATGATGATTAAACATTCAGACTTTCAGCAGAGAAAATGGTCTGACCCAAACAGACCTAGCCCTGGTCTTATCCATCCGTACACTCCGCTCAATCATCATGTCCTGCATGTAACGTCTGGGGCTGGTCCCTGTGTTAGCGATTACAATCGGTTGAATTTTGACCGACCGTTCAGAGAGCGCGGAAGGCGGGTGTTGTAGTTAGATGTGGGTGATGTCAAGAGTCTGAACGGGAAGGTTGTAGTTTGGCAAAAATGCAATAGTAAAGTAATCCGGTCTGGTTCTATCAAGAAATTGAAGCCAGAGCAAGAGGAATGTTTAGCAAATGTAATCTCTGGAAAAAATTGGCGCTACTCCCCACGGGCTCCGTTAGCGGCGTTAGAGATGGTTAGGCTAAATGCTATCGACAG